TTAAGATAATTTTTAAATAAATATATATATATAAATATATATATATAAATATATATATATATATATATAAATATATATATAAATATATATTTAAAAACATTTTAAACTTAAATTAATAATATTTAAGATATTTTTTCTTTATATTTAATTTTTATATTCAATTTTTTAAAAAATGATTTATGTTTTAAATATAATAATCAATTTTTTATAAGCTTTATTTAAAATTAGACATATATATATTTCAATGCTATAGAATGACTTTTTTTATTCTAAATTTTCCGACTCAGTTTAATTCTTTATTTTTTTAATGTAAAAATATTTAAAATAATATTTATTATATATTTAACAAAAGTACATATAAAATATACATAAAAAAGCATATAAATAAATATAATAATTTAAATATATAAAATATATATATAGTATTTTTTTATCATGATTTTTTTATATACAAAAATAAAAAAGATTTTTAATTGAATAAATTATGAATGAATTAAGATTATAATTGTATTTATAATAATATAGTTATTTTGTATTATTAGAATAAAACTCAAACTAAAAACTACTATAATGTTAAAAAAAAAAAAAATTATATAATATCTTATAAAGTAAAATTATTTATAAATAAATATCAAACAAATAAAAGTATGGATAAATAAATATTCGAAATTAAGAATTTTAATATATAAAAAATAAATTATTTATTGTATAAATTAAATAAATAAAATTATAATGTGTATATAAAAATTTGATTTAAAAGAATGTTTTAAAATATAAAAAAATATATATTATTCTTTAATGTTTAAATTGATAAATAAAAAAAAAATGACACTAAAACTAAAAAATATATTAATTATAAAAATAAAATATCTAAATTCTTTAAAATTTATTTTCATATTTATTATAAATTTATATTTTAATTTTATTATTAAAAGAATATCTATAAAATAAAATTAATATGAAAGAATAAATAAAATTTTATATAATAAATTAGTTTTTTTTTATATATTAATATAAATATTTTAATATAATTGTATTTATAATTTAATAATATATTATTATAATATTTTTGTAAATAAAAAAAAATATATGCAATTATTAATTTTTAATTAAATCTGAATAATAAAGCTAAAGTATATAAATTATAACTATATAAAAATTTTGCATAAAAATTATAATTGTTTTCTAATTATGCATTTTTAGTTTAAGGTTATGCTACTTTAATTTAGAAGCTTTTTTTAGATACTTAATAAAAGTCTTTTCATTATATAAAATTTTAAATATTGAATCTGTTTAAAATGTGTTTTTAAGGTAACTTCAACTTTGCAATTTACTTAAGGTTACCACAATAATACTTTAACATCAACTAATCCTTTTTATTAATTGATTTACCACCATTAGGTGTTTTTGTTATAACTGTAGACACCTCTGTCATCAGTGAATTTAACAGTTTAGACTTATAAGTAGTTTGTATAGGTGTTATCTAAGAATTAGATTCTTACATATAAATAATCACCAACAATATATTTAGGAACTGATCCTTCAGGTAAGAATCCGGTACAAGCTTCTGATGTACAGATATCACCTCTAGTATCTAAATTGGCAACTACAATACATTATTAACCTTTGTCACATCCATCAGTTATTTATTTAGAAACATCTAAGTGGAAGACTTCAACTTAATCTCTATTGGTGAAGATTCTCAATTAGAATTTATGTAATCTAATGGGAACATAGGCATTAGATAATTAAACAGCTAAGCAGATAACTTAGAAGATACTTCTTTCACCAACTTAAGGTTAATTGGATGATAAACTGTAAATATCCATTAATGAAGCTTCGAAAACAGTGGTGGTAGTACCTTATTCATGCTTGAAGTAATTAAAATAAAGTACTATATTTTATGTTAAAATATGTAACAAAATTTATATTAAAAATATATATATATATGTATAAATATAATATATATATTTGTTTTATAAAATTTATATTAAATAATATGTAAATTTTTAAAGTTTAATTGTAAAATTGTTAGAGTAAACAAAAAAAATATAGATGATAAAAACCATAATTATTTTAATAAAAAAACATTAAGAATTATATTTTCGAAAATAAACGAATTTATATAAAAATATTAAAAGAAAAAAAGAAAAAAATAACTTTTTTATTATTTAAAATTATTATATAAATTAAATATTAAATAAAAAAAATTAAATTTATGATTCCTATGAATAATAATAGTTTAGTTAAATATTCAACACCAATACTAGTATCAGTAGCTGGCAAAAAAAAAGATGAAAAACCCAAAAAAACCTAATTAACATAATCAAATATAAACCATTCTTAATTATAAGGACAATCCATGATTTCGTAAGAAAAAAAAGAAGCACATCGTACAGAGGACATATTATAATAAATATTACCTCCTAAATAATACAATTTATAAAACGGATAATTATGGATATAAAATGTACTCTCAACACCAGCAACAAAAATGGAAGTAATTATTCTATAAGAAGAACTTGATAAAAAACTAGAATAAAGATAAGCTAGAGAAACAGGTATATATATATAAATATATATATATATATATATATATAAATATATATTTTTATATTTGAAATTATTTTTATATATATATGTATATATATAATTATTTATTTTTGATATTATATTAATTAAGGTATATGTCCTATAAGAGAAGAATTATATGAATAATGTTTTGATGAATTAATTAGATAAATAACTATAGATTGTAAATAAAGAGGTCTACTACTTGTTAGAGTCAGGGATGAATTTAAAAACTAACTTAATGCATATAAAACTTTATATGAGAGTTCTATTGCATATGGTATGAGAAAAATGATTGATTCAGAATAAAAAAAACTGATATGAGATAAAAAATTATGCTTTTAGAAAGAGAATGCGATGAATTAGCTAAAAATGTTGATTAATTAGATGAAAAAATAGCTTTTACAAAAAAAGTGAAAATGATAAACTTAATTTTGATAATGAAAATCATAAAATGGAAACTGATAAAATTAAATAATATAATTAAAAATTAAAAGAAGAATTGTAATAATTACTTGAAGGAAAAAGATGAATTTTTATTATTTTTTTAAATAAAAAGAAATTATTATTTTTATAAAACATAATTTAATAAATATTTTTTAATCAAATTTTTTACTTATAATTTTTTTATTTTAATCAACAACTTGTAAATTTAGGATTAATAAAAACCTTAAAAAAATATAAAAAATAAAAAATATATATAATTATATATATATAAATATTTATATATATATATATTATAAAAAATTACATATTATAATATATATTAATTAATTATATTTAAAAAACTAACTTATATTTAATTATTATAAAAAAATTACTCTATTATTATATAAAGCATTTGAATATTCAGAAATACGAGTAATTCTCATATTACATTATTTTCTTACAGTTTCAGGATTAAATTAATCAGATTTTATGAATTGTCTAATATTAAAGATATATAAATAAATTTAAAAAAAAATATTAAAATATATATATATAATTATATATAAATAAATATATTTATATAATATTTATATATATATATTAATTTTTTTACTATTCATTGTGTTCTCCATTATAATAAGTTGTTGTAACTAGTTTTCTCCATTTATCCTTATTTTTATTTATATTTATTTACTATTTTATTTAATTATTTTTTTACATTTGCATATTATTATGTTTTCCATATATCATTTGTACTTGTGATTTTAGTCAATTATCCAATATTAGATAATTATTTTTTTTACCTTTTTTTTTTAAATATATATTATAATTTTTATTTATTTAAATAAATAATATTAAAAATAAACTCTTTTTATGTTCTTTATGTATATTCATTAAAATTTTATTAATGTGAATTGTCCTTTTCTTTCTGAAATCCTCTATTGTTTGAAAAAAGTTTTTTTATAATCTTATTAATTTTCCAAGCTCATTTTTATTTATTTTTAAAATAAATTATTTTAATAAAATAAAAATATATAAACTAAAAAAAATAAATATATATATAAATAAAAAATAATTAATAAAAATTAACGTTATATATAAACGCATAGACATACAAAAAATGACTGAAACAAATTCTTCTTTACCTAAATAAAACTTCAACTTTGCAATTAAATCAATATTAGGTTATCGAAATGATCTAAAGCAAAGCATATATTAACATAAAGACAACACCTCCTATATATATCCAGGAGGCAATGCCATAATAATAAACAATATTGATAGTAAATAATAATTTTTGACCCCATATCCAGGTACAAAAGGTATAACATGTATTACATAAAGTCCTTCAAAAAGATATTTAGCTTGGGCAGAAGAAAGCACATCAGGAATTATAGTAATATATGATTTTTTAAGACCGGAAAAAAGAAAAATAATAACAACTCAAGATTGTAAATCTAGTTCTTATATTGCATTGGATTTCAGTAAAAGTGATGAAACTAAATATTTAATAGCCTTAGTATTATATAATTAGATATAAAAAATAAAAATATTTATAAATAATATATATAATAATTTATATATATAATATAATATATTATAATATAATATAATATAAATATATATATATTTATATATTATAGAGTTCATTACCAGATTGTTAATTATTTTATATATAATGGAATAAATAAAAAATAATAAGTAGTGTACAAATAAAATAGATGTCTATTAATTTAAAATTTATTAATATTTTTTTCCATCCTAAAGAGGAAGATTTTATAGGTTTATTAGGAAATTCATAAATACGCTCATATAAATTATGCTAAGATTTAATTTTGAGATAAAAAGATTAGCCTTTTACTAAAATTAAATATTAATAAAATTCATATAATTATCTTTCTTATTGTATTTTGTAAGACGAAAATATGCTTGTAGGCACTGATTCAGGAGAAATTTTACTTTTTAATTCTTAATTTGAATTTAAATTGATATTATCTTAATCCCCTATAAATGAGGGATTTTCTATAGAATGTATTACTTAATTTTCGGAAGGATTCCTTGTAGGAAGTAATAATTCTAATATTTTAATTTTCGTAAAAAGTGATATTGATATTAAGAATCCATATATAAGATTAGATAAGAAAATATAAGTATATAAAATAATATAATATATATATATAAATATATATATATATATATTTTTTAAATTATTTAAATATAAATTTAAAGATTAAAGATTTTCCTTCTAAAATCATTTCTTTATTATTAACTCCTAATTAAGATAAACTCTATATTGGTACTGATAATAATTAATTATTATATGCTTCTTTTTCATCTGAAATATCTGCAATAAATGAAGAAAACTTATTATTTGAACCTTGTATATCTTATTTTCATTAATAAAAAGTTAAATTATATATATAAATATATTTATATATAAAATATATATATATATATATATATATAATTATTTTAATAAATATTAGATTACAAGTTTAGATGTTTGTATAAGAAAATATTTAATTGTTACTTGTAGTATAGATAAGAGTGTAAAAATTTGGAATTATAAAGAAAATGCAATAGAGAGTTAAACAACATTCGACGAAGAGGCTTATTCAGTATCTTTTCATCCTTCAGGTCTTTATATAATAGTATCTTTTATAGAAACAATAAAATTACTGAATATATATTAATAATAATTAATTTCATTTAAAGAATTACATGTAAGAAATTGCAAAGATGTAAAATTTTCAAATGGAGGAGGACTTTTTGTGGTCAATAATTTTTCAACGATTTAAGTTTATTAATTTTAAACCGGTGAAAAAATTGAAAACCTTAACTTTTAAGGTGCCGGGAGAGTTAGATGTTTTTTTTGGGATGAAGATGATTTAGGCTTTTTTACCGGAAACTCAGAAGGAAATGTCTTTTTTTGGAAAATAGATGAACTTTCACCTTAAAAAACTTAGATTTTGTCTATTTAAGGGCTGTAAATTTAAAGTATATCAGCTTTATAACATGTAGAAAGTGGAAATTTAGAAAGAATAGTATTCGTGAGTGGATAATAGGAAGAAAAATGTATTTATAGAATACACATATAGACTAAATAAGATAAGGAAGCCCGAGATTTCTTAGGAGATGCGAAAAAAATATACGTAATAAGTCACTTAGGGAAGATTTTAGTTGAAGATGAGGTGTGTTGTATGAAAATTATGAAGAATAGGGAGTGGTTGATGTATAGTTGTGGTATTAGAGTGTAATTTATGAGGATTTTTTAAGAAAAAGAAAGGGAGAATGTGAAAGATATTTAAGGGAATTTTAAAAAAGTGAATTGTTTGGGAATTTCTTATGATGATTTTTACGCTTTTTCGGGAGGAGAAGAAGGGTGTTTGGTGATTTATGAAAATAAAAAGAAAGACTAAAATGATGTTTTATTAAGTGAAGATTTTTTAATGAAAAAGGAGAATTTCGAGAAAATAAAGGAAGAAAATAATAATTTAAAGGAATAAATAAAAGCGGAAAAACTTAAATTAGTAAATATTTAAAATGAAAAAGAAAGAATTATTGAGGAGAAAATTTCAGAGTTAAAAAATGTAAAAATTTAAAGGGAAAATATATACAAATAGGCTATTGAGGATATTTTAAACGAAAAAAATTAGAAAAATTAAAACTTTGAAAATTAAATAGAGAAAAATAAAGAAAGTCATTAAAAAAATAGGGAAATTATCCTAAATGAATATAAAAGAAAAATACAAATGTAAACTGAGAGAAAAGAAAAGCTTTTTTTGAAAAAAAAAAATGAATAAATCAAATTTAAAAGCGAATAACATAAAATCATCTCAGATTTCTAAAAATAATTTAAAGAAAAAACTCAACAATTCGAAGATTTATTAACAAATGAAAAAGAAAAATACTAAAATTTATATTAAAAAAGGCAAATTTTACAATTAAATTTCGAAAAAATGCGAAATAGAATTGAATGTGAAGCCGAAGAATAAATAGAAAAATTAAAAATGGAAAATGATAATAATATGAACGATTTATTCCTTAATTTAGAAAAAAATGAAATTAAAAAAATGGAAAAAAAAAGTAATTTTGAAATTGAAGCATAAAAACTAGAAGAATAAAAAAATAAACTTAAAAAAATTATAGAAGATATTAATTAAATACAAGATACTAATAAAATGCTTCTTAAAGAAAAAGATAATAATTAAAGAGATATCTTAGATAGAGAAAATGCAATAAATGATAAAAGTAAAAGAATTTATGAACTTAAATAAAAAACTTAGGAATTGGAAAAATTTAAATTTGTACTAGATTATAAAATTAAAGAACTTAAAAGAGACATTGGACCTAAAGAAGAAGAAATTATGAAAATGAAAGAATAAATTTCTAATATGAATTCAGAAATATAACATTTTATAAGAACTAATAATAATTTATGTATATATATATATATATATATATATATATATATATATATATATATATATATATATTTATATTTATTATTATATTTATATTTATTTTTATATTTATATATATTTAATTAATTTGTCTATACTTTTCATATTTTATAGTACTTATTGTAAATGATCTTAAATTAAGATAAAAAGGAATGAAATAAGAATTAATAAATTAATAAAAATCTATAAATTAAAATGAGTAATATATAAAATTATTTGAACAAGAAATATCTAATACTCACTCTGAAATATACGTTTATATATATATTATTATTTTATTTTATTATTATAATATAAAGAATTTTAAAAACCTTAAATAAAAAGCTATTAATTTATATAAGTAATATGTTTAAGGAGATGAATTAGCTCGAAAAAGAATATAAAATAATAATAAATAAAAAGAAATAAATAAGGAAAGAATATATTTAGAAAAATCTGTTTCAAGCTTGAAATTAAAACATGATAAAATTAAATTGCAAATAAAAATGTATAAAATATTAATATATAGAAATATATATTATTAAAAGAATACCGAAATTATAATGAAACATAATACTTTTTTAATATTCGAAATTAATTATTTGAGGAAAGATATGAAAAGTTTTGTTAAGGAAATTGAAAAAAATAAATAAGAAGCCGAACTAAAAGAATTAGTTAATTTTAAAGATTATTAAATTTTAGAAAAGTATATATAATAACTAGAAGATAATAAAAAAGAGATAATAAAAAATATTGAAGAATAAAAAAAAAATAATGAACTTTTAAAAAGTAAAAAAATAATAAATATATATATATATATATATATATATATATTATATATATATATATACAAATATTAACTTTTATAATATTTTTTATATTTATATAAGATTAGAAAAACTTAATTGTATAAACTAATTGATATAAAATAATTTTTTTTAAACAAATTGAAATAAATATCTATTTTTTAAAATATTAATTTAAATATATATATATAAATTATAAAATATACTTAACAATTTTTTTTATTTTTTTAAATATAAATATATATAATTCTTAAAGTTCAATTAAATTTTTTATTTCTTATTAAGTAAAAAAATTAATATGGAAAATATAACATTTGGAGATTCTGAACCTTAATTAAAGCCATAAAAATCAATAAAAAAAACAAAAATTGAATCACATTAAAGCATATAATATGAAACTTAAAATAAAATTTAACTATAAACCCCTGTAATATAACCCTAAATATCATAAGTATAATCCGAAACACTATAAATATAACACTAAATTCCCTAAACATCCTCAAACTAATAAATATTTAAATTTTCTTTATAATCTCCTAAAAAAAAAAAATTATTTAATCCTTTATAAGATATAAATTTAGATAAAAATTTCATTAAATCCGAAACCATTCCTTAAATAATTCCTTTATAGCATGAAAAAAGACAACATTTTTTAAAAAGATACCACCTATTAGAAATAAAGGGTGAAATAATAACCTTATTTTTCCTCATATTAGACATAACAATCAAATTATTTATAAGTTTTTTAAACGAACAATCATTATAAGTCCATATTGGTTTTTTTTATACCTTCCCGTTGATTTTCTTACACTTATTTATCCTAATATTGAACATATATACCAATAAATTCAAAAAAATAATCTATACAATTTCCTAAATATTAAAAATATTATGTATAATCACCTTTATAGAATTCCGTATTATTAATTTTTTATCAGAAATGGACTTTTTATGTATATTTATTTACTGTTTTTCAATTCTAAGTTTATAAAAAAGCTAAAAAAATTTCTTAAAATAAAATATTTTGAGTACTTTAACAATTTGTATATATATAATTTTTCGTTTAAATGATAATTCCTTTTATTTAAAAAAAACTGAAAAATATTTCCAAATTTTAATATATGTAATACTTTTTACTATAAACTACTATTTGAAAAAATATTAAAAAAAATTAAAAGCAAATAAAAAAGTACCTTTATAAATGAAAATAAATTCATAAAATTATAGTCTCCTTTAAATAAAAAAAACGATTTAAATTCTCCATAATTTGGTGGCAATAATAATAATTATTTCATAAGCCAAAAAAAAAAACCTGAAAAAGAAGTAAATTAATCAAATACAAACGAAGAAGAGGAAAACACGAACCGAAATCTAAAAAAAAACTCAGAACTTCTCCAATAATTAACATCTCCAAGACTTAACAACCTCGTCTTGAGCCCCAGAGACTTCTCAGATTAAAACTCTACTAAGCATATTGACTTAAAAGAAGATAATTTTATAAACCAAGTCATTAATATTTCTAAAACAAACTCCTAGGTACCTGAAGATGAAGAAATAGAGTAAAATAATTCGATAAATCAGAAGACCTATTTAATGGAATTACAATTCAAACTAAAAATCCAAGATATACTAATAATGAACATTGATTAATCAATAATTTTATTAAATAAATAATAAGAATCTATAATATACACAAATTCTCATTCATGTGATTTATTTAATTGTTCTATAGAAAATTTACTTGAAAACATTTTAGATTTATAGAATATATATTCATTTAAAAATTCGGTTCTGAATTTAAATGATATTCTAACTTAATATGAAAAACCTTAAAATGTTTCCGAATTTCCTTATTTTAAATAAATATATACCAATTGTTTAGAAAATCAAACAATTACAGTTTTTTGTGTTAAATAGAAATAAAATGGCGCATATAAAAAAAATAAAGATATAGATAAATTAGAAGTTGGACAATTTTTTGATAAATATATCATTTTAGAAGTTAGAATTAGTGCTTTTAAATAAAATATTTATGAAAAAAACGAAATGATACTATTAGTTAATATCAAAGATGTCACTAATAATAATCCATTTATTACTATATATTAAACTGTTAATAAAATCTAATATTTTGTATGTAAAATGATCTCAGAACTCTCTATTGATATTTAAGATTGTAAAGATTATCTATAAGTTATGAAAAATACACCAAATTAATAAATTGATTACGTAGGGTTTATTAATAAAATAGATTGTATTATTGAATTATTATAGGATTTTGCAATCTCATCACTTTTAATAAGTGGAACGTTCATTCCAATGAAAAGTTAAATAAATCTTTATTAATTAATTGAAAATGTTATTGAAAAAATTAAAAATAGATCAAATAATTAATATTAAATTATACTTAATTATAATAAGAATATCACTAAAAAAATATTTTAAGATCCAAAAAGATTAGATAGAGTTTTTTATAATCTAATTATATATTTTATTAATATGAATCTAAATTAAAAAGCAACTATTATAATAAATGTTGATTATAAGAAAAATTAAAATTAGTTTCTTATAGTAATAAATATTTATATAAAAAAATATTAATAAATATAAAATAAAATAAAATTAGATTAGTGTAGTTTGTTAAAAAGAAAATATAGAAAACTAATTAGATAATAAAACTTAAATAAAAAATTCTAACTTTTCATTAAGTTAAAAAAATTGTAGTATGACAAATATATATCTTTTAGAAAATATGCATTATGGCATATTAATGAGTAATAGTATTATATAAAAAATAGTTCCAAAAGGAGGAGGAATAAAATTTATTTGTATGAAAGAAAATTCTTTCTAATTTAATTTATCAATAAAATGAATGTAGCAAATATGATAATATTCAGATATATATATATTTATAATATATACATTTTTATTTTATATTTAAACCTTTAAATTTATTAATTTATTTGAATATATTTATTATATATATATGGATATATATATAATTATATATATATATATATATATATATATATATAATATATATAATTTAATTATTTTTAATTTTAATATATTTTAAATAAAAATGATATAAAATTCCATTAATTAACATAATTAATTTTTGCATTAATAAAACAATAATATAAATTTGACTTAAACTTAGTCAGATTGGGAAAATTTACAGCAATTTATTTACAATACAACATTATATTTATAAAACGGTAAAATTTAAAATCTTATAAATAATTATATTTTTTTATTAATAATAGAAAGAAAATAAGTCCAATAAATATTGTAGAAACTTGAAACTTCATATAAAAAAAGCATTGAGCTAACCTTAAATTATTATGAATAAATTTAAAGGAGGATAGATTATTAATAATAAACTAAAGAATATGTAAATATAATCCATCAAACTAATTACACAATTGTAAACATAGAATAATCCAATTTAAAATAGCCAGAGACTACATAATCGAATTTCTCTAATATATAAATAAAAACCCAACCTTATTAGCCTTAAGCATAGAAAAAATAAATTATTAATTCAAAGAAGAAGAAATACAAACTTTTATATAAAATATATTTAATTTTATGTTTTAAAATGTGAATGAAGATAATCCTTTTAATCATCCATTATTTAAATTCATATATATAATACTATAAGTAAAATATCTAAATAAAATAAATATATATAAATATATATATATATATATATATATATATATATATATATGTAAGAAATATAAAATCGATAAAAAAATAATAACTTATAAGATATGTTTCGTATAGATACTATATATACAAAATTCATATAAGGATTTACCAAAAGAATGTCCTGTTAATTTTTTATATCATAAAACTATACAATTCCTATATCTTAATTAATAAAAATTTCCCATATTTTAAATATAGAAAACTAATCTTCTTCTCTATTAATTACTTAAAAAATATCGAATATTTCCATTATAGAAAAACCAGAATTATAAAATAAAGCAAATTCATCAATAAATCAACAATCTTAAAAAAGAATTCTATTTTTGGAAGTTTATATAGTTTATTTAAAAAAGAAGATGATAATTTAAATAATTCGTAAATTAATAATAACTCATAATATATATAAGAAATTAATAATTTAGAATAAAATAATAGTAGGGATAGTAATTTAGATTCTTTAGGTTTTTTAGAATGCGAAAAATCAATCTAAAATGAAGATATGATGCTATTAATAGAAAAATAAATGGAAAAAGAGTTCAAAAATTAATAAATAGATGAAAATATATCCACAATTAAAAAATTATGTGCTTAAATAATATATATTACTGTTAAAAATGTATATTTTATGCCTAAAGGTATTAAAATAATTTGTAAAATGATTTTTTTATTATTGGAAGATCTAGAGGAAAATTATTAATAGAAAATTAACATTATTTCGAATTTTTTAATATCGAGGTGGTTAATTCCTTCTTTAGTTTCTTAGTTATAAAGAAATATAGTAACCCCTTTAATTTAAATAAGGTTTTAAAATATTTCAATAATAATGAGAATATTATAGAGAATTTTTAAACAAGAATATGACGATTTAAATGAAAAAAGCTTACAAGAATTTTGTTTATCTTTCAAATAAGTTATACACGAGTTTTTTTAGAATTTAATAAATATCGAAAGTTCTTAAATTAGAAATATTTTTTCAAAAAACGATAATTAATTTGAAATAAATAATGATAATAATATATCTATGTTTGCTTTATCATATACCGATATTAATATTTTATTAAAAATTCCTTATATAAAAGACGATTAATTACATTCTAGATTCTATTAATTGATAGAAAAATGTAATAAAATAAATATGCATGAAAAATTCATAGAAAATAATATTAATTCAAAAACTTATCTATATATTTTTAAACCGGATTAAATTTTTCAATAAAATATAGTAATTTATAATTAGTATATAATATATAAATTTAAATATATATATATATATATATATTTATATATATATTTAAATATATATAAAGATGGACAAATGCTTTAAATTTAATATAATAGATAAAAATGATTAATTAAATATAAATAAATAAAAACTTAAAACTGTTTTAGTTTAATTTTTTTAAAGATTAAATCCTTTTGAGGATATTCTTGTTAATAAAATTACATTATAGGAAATATTTAGTTACTATTCATAGGCTGGATAGTATAATTAGAATAATAAATAAGCTTTATAATCTAAAATCTAGGCTAATTTTCTCATAAATACTATTTATAAATTAAATCCTGAGTATGTTTAAAATAACTTTGAGTTACTTTATTAGGAAATAAAATAAGAAATTGAAGAAAAGTAAAAAGACGTTTTAAGTTAGGTCTAAATTATAAAATTTTATATAGAAACTTGCTTTTAAATGTTAGAATAAAAAAAAAACTAAATTTAAAAAGAAATTTAAGACATGATAAATAGGACAATAAAATAAAATTTACTTTTTTTCATTAATAATCAAGAAATCCCTTTGAAAATATATTTTGACGAAAATTAAGGAATTTTCTAAATAGAAAATTAAATAGATAAATTTTAAGAAGAATACAATGAATATTTGAATAATTTTTCAATTTTAAATATAGAATAAATAAAATAATATAAAATTCTTGGAAATAAAATGAAAAGAAAAACAAATTTAGTTAAGGATAATGTATATTATTGTAGAAATATAAAAGAGTTTTTTTTAATTAAATTTTTTTTATTTTTTAATATTAATTTAAATAAAATAAATAGATTTTTAGAATTTATTTTATAAAAGAACATATTTTAAAATATTGTCAATTAAATTAATGATTATAAAATTAAGAGTGAATAATTTAGAGTTGTTATAAATAATTATTATGATTATTTGGTTAAATTATTTATAAATATTCCTAAAATATATTAAGGAGATACTTTTTAAATATAGAAATACTTATATATTTAAATTGAAAAATACATTTCAAGATATTTATCAAAAAAGTAAATATATATAATATATATAATATATATAATATATATATATATATATATATATATATATATTTATATATATTCAATTTTATATAACCATTATATATATTTAATTTTTATATATTATAGTTTTTTTATTGGTGAATAATAATTATTTAAAATTTTTAATTAGTAAAATTATACAATTCCTCTTAATTTTTAATAAATGCTTACCGAAAAAATAAAAGAAAGTATAATTTGTTTTAACTAATATTTTAAAATATTAAAATTTAATATGAAAATAAAAAGAGCTTGAATCTATATAATATAATGGAAATCATATTGATATTATGTTAAAAATACATGATTGTGTACAAACACTTCAAAATATAATGTATTAATATAAAAAACAATAAAACTTTGAAGAACTTTTAATTGAAAAACTCCAAAATATACATCAAATAATTTAAATAGATATATTATTTAAAACTTGCATTTAGTAAATAATAAAATATATAAAAATTTATAAAAAAAAACAGATTATTCGACACATTAATAAATATTAATTTATGGCAAGATCAAAAAGAATATAAGTCTTTTTTAATTTTTAGAAAGTCATTAATTAATATAAATTATTGAAATACATAATAATATATTTTTATTTAAACAAAAAATCATTTATACTTCAATATTTTTATAAAATCATTATAATTAATATATCCATCTTCATTACCACATACATCTTTTATCATATCTTTATAATCTTAATCTTCAAATTTTTCACCTACACTCTCTAACATTATTTTTAAATCATCTTTATTAATTAATCCGTTCCCGTCTCTATAAAAAACTTTAAAAGCTTCAAGCAAATCTTTTTCCATATCAGAACTATTGATTTTTTAATACATATAACTTAAAAAATCATCTTAACTGATAATATCTTATCCAGATTTTTCAATTTCCTCTACAATATCTGTTAATTCTCCTTCGGCTTTATTCCCTATATTTTTATATGTTAATTTTTTTTATTTTTGTAATTTATTATAACCTAATTTTCTTATTATATCACTTAATTCTTTTGCTGATATTGTATTACTGTGATCTAAATCAAAAAAATTAAAGGCTTCTAATAAGACTTTTAATGTTTCTTATTATAATTAATTGTTCATTTAGATTTTTATATAAATATATATATAATATTATATATGAATGTATATTTTAATTTTTAATTAAAAAAAAAAAAATTATATAAATATTATAATTAAATATATATATATTTTATATATATTTATAAAATACTGAATTAATCGGATTTAAATATTTATTAATATAATAAATAAAATATAATAGTTTTTATATATATTATATTTATAATAAGTAAAAGATTATAAAATAAATTATTTATTTATATTATATTAAATTAAATTATAAATATTTAAATTTAAATGAAAATATTATTTATCTTTATTTTTAAATTAGTATAATTAATAATTTCTTGAATTTCAGTTTTGTTTTTTTTAAATTTAAATATAATTTACTATTCTTAAATAAAAATTTTAATTATAAATTAATAAAATAAATAAAAATAATATAAAACAAAAAATTAAAATTAATACAAATTTAAATTAAAAATCAAACAAGAAATTTAATTTTTAATAGGAAAAATAAAATATTTAAAATAAAAAAATTTAAAAAATAATTTTTAAAAAAAAAAAAAAAAAAAAAAATGTTTTTCTGGTAAATAAAAAAATAAAATCAATTAAATATAAACAAAAAAAATAATTAAATAGTAATTATTGGGGAGGATTTGGAGGATATAATAATTCATGTCTAGACAATTTGTTTAAAAAGGAAGATTTAACAATAGAAGATATTTTGGAATAAGAAAACATAGTAAATGATATAAAAAATAACTCCTCCAAGTTTAGTGATTTGTAAATAATAAATAAAAATAAAAAATATAAAAAATAAAAAAAAAGTATTATAAAAAATCCTTAATACCTAAAAAAATTAATCTCTTATGCTTTAACATATCCAGAAGAAGATAATGAAAACGAAATAAAGCCATATAAGTAATAAAAAATATATGTTTACATTAATATTTATATATATATATATATATATATATATATATATATATATATATATATATTATTTATATATATATACATTATTTATATATATTTATTTTTATTTTTTTTATATAAAGATACCCTTTCATAGCTAGTGAAATATTGGGAGCTTAAATAAAGAAAATATCAGATTTTTTATTATAAATAAAACGCTCGTAATTAAATAATTCTGAAGATTTTGATTAGAGTTAAAATAGTTTATTAGTAAAAGAAGATTGCAGCAAAAATAATTCATAAGCAAGTCCTGAAAAAAATTAAGAAAATTAAGAAAATAATGAAGAAGAAGAATAATAAGAAGAAAATGATTAGTAATAAAATATTACTGGATACGAATTATTGGATTAAGTTTTCAAATTTTTATAATAAGAAGAAGAATTAAATTCTACATTAACAGGATATTTTGAAAAAATAGTTAATATAGTTATGTCTAAAGAAGATAGTGTAAAAAAAAATTATATATATATATATATATATATATATATATATATATATATATATATTATTTATTATTTAGTTTTGGAAATATTTAAATTAAAATAATTAAGTAATAGAAAATTTGTTAAAGCATCTTTATTAAAAAAGTATATCTAAAATAATCACTCAATTAATCATAAATGAAGGAACCTAAACAAATCCAGATTAGTATCAAGTAATATATATAAATATATAAATATATACATATATATATAAATAAATATATATATATATATATTTATATATATATGTTATTTAAAATAAAAAAATAGGTATAAAGAATAATGATCGTCAACAGACTATTTAATATTTACGAAAAAACAAATAATATTGAAATTTTATTAAATATTTAAGATATTTTAATTTAAATTAATTAAACTAAATTTAATCTACATAATTAATATATTAAACAATAAATTTTTTAACCAGAAAACATTGATATATTAATAAATTCAATTACAAATGTAAAAATCCTTTTTTAAAAATAATAATAAAAAAAAAAAGCATACAATTTAATTCTCTTCATCTTCATTTATTCTTTCTAATTATTTAGATAAATATTTGGCTATAATATATAATGAATAAAACCAATTTGAAGATTACGAAAGTTACAAAGACGACTAAGTAGAAAAAACAAATGTAGATGAAAAACAAATAGAAAATGAATTCCCAATATAATACTTTTAACAATAATCAAAAAAGTTAATGTAAGCTTTAATGGAAGATAATCTTAATTTACCATAAAAGCCTCATAAAACTTAATATGACAGTATTGTTTAGCCTTATGGTTTGAACAGAATTAGATTATTAAATGTATTAATTAATTTACTCAAAACTAAATCTTAAATTGTAGACGAAGCAGTTTAAGAAACATAATTATTAAACTATTTATTAGTAAAATTAAATTAATATATATGTATATATATATTTAAATAAACAAAAGAAATTAATAACCTAAAATGAATGGAATAATATTTTGCATAATTAAATTTAAGTCATTTTATAAGAATGTCTATTATTAGCAAAGGAAAGTTAAGTAATGAAAATCGCAGTTTTGAACGCAAAAATACCTGATTTTATATCCAATAATTGTTAAGAAACTAAAATTTAAATTGGGTATTTTTTTAATAAAAAATTATATTTAATATTTAAATTACATATTAATAATAATTATAATTTTAAATTATTTTTAAGATATTTAATAAAAACTTTAAAGTATAAAAAAAAATATATTTAAAAAAAAAAAAAAAATAATAAAAAAATTAATAAATAATATAAATATATATATTTAATATATATTTGTATAGATTTATTTTTATAAATAATAAATAGTAAAAAGAAAATTACAAAAGGATATTTATGTATGTTAATTAAATTTGCAAATGAATTTATTAATAAAAAAGAAGAAAACAATTGGATTTAAGAAGATATAAATTGTAAATATAATTATAAAAAAAAAATATATATATATATATTTATTTATGTATTTAATTATTAATTTATTTATTTTTATATTTTTTAATTAGAATAAGAATGGGAAAATTTCTAAAATAATACTTTAAAATAATAAAATGAATTAGAAAGTTAAAATTTAGGCGGGCATGATCCTAAAAAAAAAGATAATAATAATTGGTTAGGAGATATTTAGAATTAAAATTTAAATTAAATTTATTTAGTATACAAAATAATTTTAAAATTATTATTATAATTATTATTTATATAGAAATTCCTTGCTACATTTAGATCTTAAAATAATTAAAATAAAGAAAATGATGAAACTGAAGATATTGAAGAAGATGATAATAAAAATTATTAATAGTATGAGAATGGAGAGAAAATAAATCAAGATGATTTATAACAAAATGAAAATATTAATTATTAAGAGTAAATTATATTCCAAAAATAAAATTTATATTTATATATATATCTAAATATGTTTTTATATATATAAATATTTTATATAGAATTTAAGAATAAGATAATTAATAATAACATTAATAATATTAAGACAATTTTGACTATAATTTTGATTCTCATAATTATTGGAAAATCTAATAATCATATGATATTTAATAATTAATTGAATAACTATGATTTTTTTTATAATTTTTTCCTTTAATCTTCTTTATTTTTATTTTTTTTATATGAAACTAATAAATTTGTAAATATATACAAAACAAAACAAAACAAAAAACCTTACTTATAGTTTATGAAATTTTGGGCTCTTCTAAATAATGATTTTGAAAAAAATAAAATAAAACATAAAGATTATATATTAATACATATATATATAAACATGTATAAAATAAATAATGTTAATTATTTATTTGTAATAAAAAAAATTATTTTTTGTTTATATATTTTTTAATAAGAATTAATATTTTTTTTTTTTTTTTTTTTTTAAATTATATTAATCGTTAAAAACAAAACAAAAAAATAATAATAATGAATACACCTAAAAAAAATTTATATAATTCACAAAAAAACACAAACTAGAATTATTAATCAAATTCTCCTCATTATAGGAATTCTTAAAAATTAAATTATCAAAAAAACATTCATGCAACCTTGAATTAAAATAATATCAATACTCGTCCTCCCTAAGTATTATAAAATATACATCCAAATAGTATATAAATTAGTAATAATTAATAATTTTGTAATAATATGGAATTAATACATCCAAATTAATAAATGACATGTGAATAATTATAGAAATTATTCCCAGAATAGTTTAATAAATTTAATTAAAATAATTTCTGTTTTCCAAACTAAAATTAATAAATATAAGAATTACAAAAACTTAAAAATAAATGTTTTATTTTGGAATAAAATAATTTTAAATATTAATAAAAAATAGCTTATTTAATTTAAACGGAAGAAGAAATGAATAATGTAATGAAATAAAACATGAACCTAAGCTGTAATATAAACGAAAATATGAAAATCATATGTAATTTAAAATAAACTATAGAAAATCATAACCTTTAAATATAATAACTATAAAAATATGAATAAGGATATTAAAATATGTGCGATTAATATTCTTAACAAAAAGAAAACAACTAATAAATTATATAAGAGATTATAATGAAAAACTAATAAATAAAAGAGTAAAATATAATATATCTATTCATATATATATATATATTTATATATATATATATATATATATATATATATATATATATATATATATATATATATATATTTAAAAAAAAAAAAAAAACATACAAATAAAGAATGGATGATTAATAAATATAAAATTTAAATTTTAAAGTAATATAATAAAAAGAATTAATAATAAATTTAAATAAATAAATAGAAAATTTAATAAATACATAAAATACAAAAAATGAAGATATAAATAATTATAAAAATCAAATAAATTAAAATATATAATAAATAGATTAAATGGAAACTTAACTTATTTAATATTAATAATAAACAGATTAGTTTATTGTAGAGTTAAATACTAAAAACTAATATATTGAAAATTTGTAATAAGAAATTAAAGCATAAAACAATTATAATTAAGATTATTAATATGAATTAACTTTATT